GGACCAATCTTTGACATTGTGTAGGTTTCTCTTTCAGTATTGTCAACTTCATTCCCATTGTCATCTCATCCGAGGCGGAAAGAGAAAAACAATGGACATTATGTTTATCAATTTGTCTTCGTATTTCTAAATATGATACTTGATATGCGAAACAAGAACTTGAAACAGTGCTGACGTCTCGATGTGAGAATTCGAACATAGTTGAGACAATAGAGCATATCTATTACAGAAAAATACCGGAATGTCCTGTGTATCGCTGTGGTGTGTCGGAACGAAGAAGGGAATGATAGATAAACATTGAGGTTTGACTGAACTAACCTGCCAGACTGGACGAACAGAGAAACAACTGTCCAAAACAGCCCAGAAAATTTTCTCTATCTTCCAAATTTGCAAACTTATTGCGGTGTTTACCCTCTGAAGCGATAGGCTTCCGGAGGGTCTTAGAAGGACAGAACATTGGGACTATGCAGTGCAATTTACTGTAATACTGTTATTAGTATAATTTCTTTTTTGAGAAAAGTGGTTTAAAAAGTGCTGTCTATGAATGTGTTACGTAAGATTTATCCAACTGCCCGTGCCTTATTTATTATATGATTATATTTGATATGTCTATTACACGTACCATAGAAATGAGTGAGGGAAATTATCAAGTCAGTACAAAACCATTTCAATATCCTGACTTCTCTCTTATAATGACTTCATAATCCAACTCAACCTGAAAAATTTACTTTCACACTCTGACCTACAGAATAACAATGACCTCACTATGTAACATTAAGCTCTTGAAAGTTCCTGAAATGAGCGCAAATTCCGAAACAAGTATGTCTATTGTTTACAGTCATTTACTGAAAATTCCGTGCAAGAGCTGGAGCGCTTGCAGCCAGTGTCGACATGATTCTGTAACGTTTTAAAGAAATAAAAGTGACGCATTCTTTTTCTCGTGTCAAGAGAGACATTGACATTGTCAGTTCATGGACATTTATTTCACCAAGACTGAGCTAATATTTGTCTTTTATCGCGTGAAGTATCGTTCATGTATCAAAGTAGGATCGTTGTGGAATGGGAGCGTGGTTCATAGCTCATATTATAGCTGCGAGTAAATGACTTTGTCTGCGAGGACAAGCAATTCCGTTCCAAGAAAACCTAATACTGGAAATATGTGGTAATTTGGGGATATGATGTAAGGGATATGGATCAGATGAAATGCTCTCCAATATCCTTTTTTCTTCATTGATATGAGGAGACATGTCGTAATGAGAGACGAAAAAATCTGCGGTCGACAATAAGCCAGTGAGTTGATAGGGAAAACTGTGTCGCCCCTGGAAAACTATGTAATTAATTTGGCAAGGTTTGTGTGTGCGTTGCTGAGACAGCGTCCAGTGTCCCTAGGCCACGTTTTAGGTCAGTCTTCCTTTAAGAACCGTATTGGACAAAAGACAACAGGTGTCTAGAAATATAAATTTCAGAGGGTAAAATAAAACACTCAGTCTTTCTATGTTAAACGAAGAAAAGGGAGCGAAATATATAACATGAAAACTTAATGTATCATGTATTTATGTAAGTACCTTATTCGCAATGGAATACATGTTGACCGCGACGATTCCATCTTCTTTAAAAGGGTGTATTGCAGGAGTAATACTGAGTGTTGTAAAATATAGCATAGGTTTTATTTACATGCATAATATGTAGTAGTGGTACTTGACAGACGCGTGACTAAATCATATTTGGTTAGATTTTGAAATTTCAAAAATACTCTTAGGAAATAGTGATAGCGGTCATCTCTAACTGTCAAGTCCACGATGACCGCCTGTTTTGTTCTGTTTTTATCAGTCCCAAATTCATGGGCACAACTAAAGACTACAGGGGACCTACATAGCAATACTAAAAAATATCAATCAAAAACTCCCCATGAAAATCAATAACAAACATACACTGTCAAAATCAAATATGGCTGCCTGTCAGCTACAGTAGTGATAACGCATAACGCACCAAAACATTTGTGTGCACATTGTGCATATATCGTGAGCATACATCATGTGCACGCATGAACGACACAGTATCGTGAGCACAATACTGTGATAGGATCGCAAATTTTGCGCGGTTTGATTAAAATGTTTGGGTAATATTACGGATGGAAAAAATATACGAAAAATTCGGGTAGTTATGATTTAACAGCGATCAAAAGCGTATCTAAATTGATCTTTGGTTATAGAGCTCATTTTTAATTATTCAGTTCTCTTAATAACACTAGATTATCCATTAATTAGTCTTTTACGGGATAATTAAAAATGGCACAGCGAATCACCTGTGAACATTAGATAATAAATGATTTGATACAATGTCTGTGAAAGAAAGTCGACAACATGGGGTAAGTTGATATTATATCAATAATTACTAATATGCTCTACTTTAATATCGTTACGCCGCCTTAATTCCAACATAAAAGTACGCACTGTCATGTCTTTATTACTCAATAAAAAAACTCAAGATTATCTGTTTTGAACCACGTTCAGTGTGAGAGTTGACTATAAGGCCATTTTAAAACCACAACACTAATTCGTATTGAGTCCACGTTTACTGCAGAATTCATCTATCAGTCAACCTTAAAATCCAAACTAATTTTTTGTTAGAATTCACGTCCAATTCAAGATTTATTGTGAACACTCCAATACTAACATGTGATCACAGATTTCTAATTCAGGACTACACTCATCTGCTCACACGACAAACAACACATTTAGAAACTTCCTCCTGCATTGGAAGAAACACAATGTCATTTCCTTATTGTTATAAGAACTTTGCTTGCTTGAAATATAAATCAATCTCAAAGATTTGATTTTATAAAGATGAGATTCTAGCAAACCAGACGATGATTACCAGGATATCGTTCAATAATAACGGAACGGAATTCACTTCCTTAACTTCACAAGAATCCGTATATTTTATTGCTTGCTCGGCTTGCAGCTCATCATTGAAGCTTTGTCCCAAACTTCCTTTTAGCATTCTTAGCAGCATTAAACAAGGTTATGACCTATCGTAACACTGAATATTTGACAAAAGGAATCAATGGTAAATTGTAGATTTTGATGACGTATGGAAAGGTTATAGTGATTTTACTGTTCTGTTATGTATATCTCCATTCCGTTCCAATCTAACGTTGTTCTTTTGTTATGTGAGGGCTGTTTAAATATATATACTATTTTCACATTGAAAGGCCCTCTGATATACAGATATATTGTCCAACAAATGTTCTAAATCAAATATTGTGACAAACTGAGAATAAAGTAATTAAAACGATAAAATTACCAGTTGATATGTTCTTTGTTCGATTTGGTGTCCAAATTTTATTTATTTTTTATATCAACGGGAATTAAATGTGCCCCACTTTACATTTCATCCTATCATTCTGTGAATGAAAAGGAATTTACTATTTGCATGATATAATGTACTTTTTTCGAACAGGGACATCTTACAACGAAATTGTAAATCGTATTTATCATATCTTGAACATTCCACTTCTGGAAAACAATTTATTGCTCACAAGCCGACGTTGATTTCATATAGTTTACATATATCCGCGACACACGCTAACAGACACATTTCCGAAGTAGGCATTAAAAAAGAGACATTCGTATACCGGTTGGTGACTATAATTGTGAACTTTTGTTATTGTTATTGTGATCGTATCAGGAAATATTTTAAAATGTTTTGAGTAATAATATTTTTGTCACATATTCCTCCAGTGAATTCGCCCATGCATGATTACCGTAAGGCTGCTGGATTTTATCAGCTGAAGAAGGAAACAAAGACTATCTGTCTACCTCCGTTTTCTTTTGTCCTTTATAGTTTTACTTTAAAAACGTTTTAAAATGCAATCTCTCTGATTTATGCGATAAAACGTATTTTACTTCTATTTTCATTTCACGGGTTTGCAAAAATGTAACGGTAATGACTCGTTTAATGAAAAATTCGTATGTTATGAAAACTCTTTTCGATCCTAAAAGTATTTACTTAATATGCAATACTTACAAGATTAAACGTTTCAGTTCTACAAACAATAATTATGTACATATCAAATGACAGTGTTAAGTCAATAAACAAGTTAGGTACTTATTGACCACAGGCAGATCGTTGATAGGGCCATTTTATCTAAGCTGAAGATGTGATGTCATATTTTCGTTGTTGTCAAATGTACTTTATCCTTGGTAGGAAATGTACGCATTGTGACACACGATAGTGCTGGTTATCATTGACGTCAAATTGTATAGTATGATACATGTACAGTGTACATAATGCAGTATGTATTTAGTAAGGAGTTTGTTAATTAAAGATATTAGATATGATATGTTTCGTAAGATCATTCCAGTGATTAGGAACGCTCTGGAATGAAGTGTCTATGTAACATAAGTTATATTGTATATATACAGCCAAATTAAATTTCCTTTACAAAACCAATACCATACGTCCGTGTGGGTGCCCAGGTGTGGTTTGGTATTTAATTAAGCCGGACGGAGGGGAAGTTACTTGGACAGCTATGTACAGAGAGTATGTAAGTCTGTAATCGATATCAGGGCGTGTGTGTGACGACTCGGCAGCATCTCCGACAAACGGCTGCATCAACCTACAACCTCCCTCACCAGTCATTTCCAGCAGTAGTAATACTTAAAATCAATCAGCTAATGGACCCTGGGGACAGGTACATACCTATATTACTGTGTAGGACGTGCTAATTACTCAGGTGTGACATCAGTCCTATCAACTTCACAAAGGCTAAGGCTCATGAATATTTCAATGAGAGTTTGGCATCCGATTGGCTGACGAGACGAATGCGGTGTTCGTAACTTTAAATTGCTCACCACCTACACAATCTTTGACGGTCCATTTACAAAATCAACATCTAGAGATATATCATTTTACCTACTGACATCTTATCAATTCCTTTCGTCTATTAGTACATCCAGTTCAGCGATCCGAGTCTTCAAGAGAGCAGCTTACAGAGAATGCCGTTTGGTAATTTTCAGCAACTAAAAGAGAGGATTCTCTACCCTGCTAAAGACGCAACACAAATTGCAAAGTCATCACTCGGAAGGTAAGGAGAATTCAGTTACAGTTTGTTGGGTATTTCATTTGAAATCTAAATATGAAAAATATATATTCTTACAATCATTTACAATTGCATTTGTAAAATAATTTTCTTATATATTCATTTCATTTTGAACGTGATATATTTATGTTAACTTCAAAAACAGAATTGTTACGACCAAATGAAATTTTTCAGTCATAATTGTTAAATTTATGAAAGAAATCAAAGTAAGCAGTTTCGACGTTCTTCAGAACATATATACATACATGTGAAAAAGGGGCTAAAAAGCGTAAGGAATTCTATGTCGGTTCTATGGTAGTTACAAAGTGAAATGTATCTGTTGACTATTGGCATGATGTACTTGTATCATCACAGTACGTGTACACGGGTACTGACACAGCTGTACGTGTGTAACGTGTACACGCGTACTGACACAACTGTATGTGTGTAACGTATACACGTGTACTGACACAGCTGTACGTGTGTAACATGTACACGGGTACTGACAGCTGTACGTGTGTAACATGTACACGAGTACTGACACAGCTGTACGTGTGTAACGTGTACACGCGTACTGACACAGCTGTATGTGTGTAATGTGTACACGCGTACTGACACAACTGTATGTGTGTAACGTGTACACGCGTACTGACACAGCTGTACATGTGTAACATGTACACGAGTACTGACCCAGCCGTATATGTGTAACGTGTACACGCGTACTGACACAGCTGTACGCGTGTAACATGTGAACACGAGTGCTGACACAACTGTACGTGTGTAACGTGTACACGCGTACTGGCAGAGCTGTACATGTGTAACATGTACACAGCCGTATGAGTGTAACGTGTACACGCGTACTGACAAAGCTGTACGTGTGTAACGTGTAAACGGGTACTGACACAGCTGTACGTATGTAACGTGTACACGGGTACTGACACAGCTGTACGTGTGTAACATGTACACGGGTACTGACACAGCTGTATGCATGTAACATGTACACGGGTACTGACACAGCACTACGTGATTAACATGTACACGGGTAGTGACACAGCTGTACGTGTATAATAACATGTACACGAGTACTGACACAACTGTACATGTGTAACGTGTACACGCGTACTGACACAGCTGTACATGTGTAACATGTACATGAGTACTGACACAGCCGTATGTGTGTAACGTGTACACGCGGACTGACACAGCTGTACGTGTGTAACATGTACACGAGTACTGACAAAGCTGTACGTGTGTAACGTGTACACGAGTACTGACACAGCTGTACATGTGTAACATGTACACGAGTACTGACACAGCCGTATGTGTGTAACGTGTACACGCGTACTGACACATCTGTACATGTGTAACAAGTACACGAGTACTGACACAGCCGTATGTGTGTAACGTGTACACGCGTACTGACACAGCTGTACATGTGTAACATGTACATGAGTACTGACACAGCCGTATGTGTGTAACGTGTACACGCGTACTGACACAGCTGTACGTGTGGAACGTGTAAACGGGTACTGACACAGCTGTACGTATGTAACGTGTACACGGGTTCTGACACAGCTGTACGTGTGTAACGTGTACACGGGTACTGACACAGCTGTTCGTGTGTAATTGTACACGGGTACTGACACAGCTGTTCGTGTGTAATTGTACACGGGTACTGACACAGCCGTACGTGTGTAACATGTACACGGGTACTGACAGTTGTACGTTTGTAACTTGTACACGGCTAATGATACAACTCTACGTGTGTTACATGTACACGAATACTGACCCAGCTGTACGGGTGTAACATGCACACGGGTAATGATACAACTGTACGTGTGTAACATGTACACGGATACTGACACAGCTGTACGTGTGTAACATGTACACGGATAGTAACACAGCAGTACTTGATTAGCATGTACACGGGTACTGACACAGTTGTACGTGTGTAAAATGTAATCGGGTACTGACACAGTTGTACGTGTGTAAAATGTAATCGGGTACTGACACAGCTGTACGTATGTTACGTGTACACGGGTACTGACACAGCAGTACGTGTTTAACATGCACACGGGTACTGACACAGCAGTACGTTTTTAACATGTACACCGGTACTGACACAGCTGTACGTGTGTAACATGTACACGGGTACTGATACAGCTGTATGTGTGTAACATGTACACGGGTACTGATACAGCTGTACGTGTGTAACATGCACGCGGGTACTGACACAGCAGTACGTTTTTAACATGTACACCGGTACTGACACATTTGTACGTTTGTAACTTGTACACGGCTAATGATACAACTCTACGTGTGTTACATGCACACGAATACTGACCCAGCTGTACGGGTGTAACATGCACACGGGTAATGACACAACTGTACGTGTGTAACATGTACACGGATACTGACACAGCTGTACGTGTGTAACATGTACACGGATAGTAACACAGCAGTACTTGATTAGCATGTACACGGGTACTGACACAGTTGTACGTGTGTAAAATGTAATCGGGTACTGACACAGCTGTACGTGTGTGACATGTACACGGGTACTGACACAGCTGTACGTGTGTGACATGTACACGGGTAGTGACACAGCTGTGTATTTGTTACATGTACGCGGGTTCACACCAGTCGTGCGTGTGTGACATCGACACGGATACACATCAGTTGTGTTACATGTGTAATACTATAACAGTCTTCACTGCACACAGACAAAATATTACAACCTTTCGAAAAAATATTTTATCCAGATACAAAAGGTTATATCAATTATCCAATGCCGGGCTCATGTTTTTATACGTTTTTTCTTTTTAAAATGTTGATTTATTATGCAATCCGGAATAAATGTTCCGTCATTGTTTCTGAAAGCTACTGTAATAACCCTTGCTTTTATGGGCATACACGCTGAATTGAAGAGGAAATTTGTAGTGATGTTCCTTTGTAAAATACCAACGCGGTGCTACATGCTATAACCTTAATGGCGGTGTATGGAATCGGTTGTGGAAGGCTTTGATTCCTCTTGTTTTGTTTTGTTTTTGTCTCAGACCTTTTCCTTTGATCTTACGGGTATACCACTTTGAATTGCGCATATATAAAATGTCTGTTGTACACGTACAACATTTTACGATCGTCACGCACGCGATGAGGTCCAGTTAAGGATAACGACACGTAATATGTTGACTCATAACAGCTGTGTTACAAAGATAAGGTCAGGTGTAATGGATGATAACTCTGAGAGAATGACAATACTCTTCTTCCCATTTATCTTCGTCATTAATCTTTTAATCATCTGCCCTTAAAAGTTACAATCGATCGTCAGCGTGTACAAATATTGTGCTTTATATTTTTTGTTGACATAGGATATTCCCAGAAACGAGTAGATATTAATGAGAGTGTGTGTTTATATAACAACATTGTACAGGTATGTGTGTTATAAAAGACACTGACAATGCACACAGACAAGCTGACAGTGTAATCTATAAAGAGACATTGTCAGTGTATAATGATACAGTCGTTGGATCTCACATCGCGCCCGAGATCTATGCACGATGTGCGCTCGATAGGAAAACTGGACGAAATAAGCTATCTCACATCTGTGCGGACATCATGAGCTTCTGTAGGACAGAGGTGCGAATCTATCGTGGTTAATTTAAATTTAGAAATGTCTCATTAATTCAAATTTAGAAATGTCTCATAGATAAGTATGGGATGAGGTTCATTTATTTTATAAATATATAAGATCACAACTAAGCATATTTCTTAATTAAGCTAAAACATATAGAATGAACTTGTTAATATCTATCAGATACAGATTAAAGTGTTTTGTTTACAAAGTTGTACATTAAACTTGTAAACATTAGATGGGCGTCTCTTTTTGTTCCTGCAATTAATCATTTGAAATTTGATACCGTCAGATGGGAAATATATTTTCATTACTTCGGTATTACTCTCATTTTTCAATCCGGACCTGTCACGTATAGCCCAATATACACCACTCGCCACTCGCTGAGGTGTTAAAGTATACGATAGAAACATTAATTAATGCAGGGTCCAGTGTTATTCCGCAAGCTGTAGAATGAAAAAGGACTTTTATAATCACCGATCAATGATGATAACTCTGTGGTCGCTATTTAGTCTTAACTACTAGTTTCCGTTAAATTTTCATCAACTGTAACACGACGAGATGTATACTTGTCAATAGTGTATTACGATACACTGTCAATACCTACCGAAATGCTGGCAGTGTATGGGGAGATTACCATACAGTTTACAAGGTGGCAACGAAGCGTATGAGGGCACCAGGGTCTGAATTGACTATTACTGTGTATAAGGAAATAAAGGCAGTGTATGAGTTAAAAGGAGTGTTTGAGAAGATGGCAGTGTATGGAATGTCGATGGCTGTTTATGAGAGAAGAATGACAAAATAGCGGTATGACAGTATGATATAATACAACGGCCATGTACGTCGCCAGTGTTTGGGAGACAATGACGTCATAAATATTAGATGAAAGTATATAAATAGACGGTAATAGTATATAATAAGGTGATGACAGATTCGATGCAGTGTAAGGGCCGACGATATTGATCTATGTGGAGACGATGACTGTGTATGTTAATACCAATGTATTTTTAATATGTGGACAGAGACTTCAAAAGCAAAGCATCTCAAGTATTGCCTGTTTTGTTGACCTTTATATTTTTGCTCGTTTCACACGTTGTGTATTTGAGAAACTGATGAGGGCATTGGGTATCTTGTTTTTTTAATAAATCCTTTGCATCACACTGACGTTGAAACCATTAACATGATATTAGGATACACCAAAACTGTTTGAAAACCTTGTTAACAAACCTGGAGATTTACGGAATCTGCAGGCGGGCTAATATTGTTGTTTCTGATTATAAAATATTTAGTAGATACACATATACCTGCAAACTACAAACACTAACTGCCATGCTTCCAGTGAAAACATTAGAGAAAATCGATATTTATGAAA